CCACCACATACTGAATGTACGCTACAACAAAGCACAGATGTCATTCAAGTTGGTAAAAATAGATACAGACATTTCTTTAAGCAGGAAAAGCTTGGTAAAAGTGTACAGACTGTGGGGAAAATTACTGCTCTGTTGACAAAACAATATCAAGTTACACATTTTATCCTGAAACTTCACACACAGTCACACATTCATCACATACTCTTTATCAATATAAATAATTTTAATAAAAAAAGATTTAAAAAATACACAAAACATGAGAAACATAGAAAAGCCTCTATAAACTGTATTCCCAAACTTATTTGACAAAAAAGAAAAAACCATAGATTAAACATAAAACGCTTTTTGGTCAAAATAAACCCTTAATTAACTGAGTTAGAAAATATTCTCAATTCTCAATGAAGGATCAGGATACTGACTGGCAAGTTGTTGATTTAGCAACAATTTTTTTGCTCCTTCAATCACTGATGACTGTCACCTGAAGGGCCTTGTGTGTATGTTTTTTCCATTGTTCTAATCCTCCTTCCTTTGTGCTTGACGTAGACTGCTGTGTGACGTTCAGCAGCTATATGTGTGTGTGTGTGTGTGCGGGGCTGTGGTCAGGGGTGTGTGTGTTTGCTGAAGGCTGATAGGATCCTGAAAGCCACATGTTCAGAACATCACACCCTGTGCTTAATGGGACACTGAAACCTGTGTTTACTGTAGCAGTGTATGTTTTAGGTCTCTGTGTTCACTGACTGTGTGTGTGTGTATGGGGGTGTGTGTGTGGGTGTGTGTGTGTGATGCCACATGTGACTCTTTTTCTGTATTAATGAATGCAGGAAGCTGCTCTCAGAGGACCTAATCAGCTCTAACCGGCAGACTGGGCATATCTTATGTTAAATCGGACATATCCTAAAGTCACAACACCAGTCCAACAACACACACACACACATACACACAAAAGAAAGGAAAAGTCACTGTGAGAGGGCAGTTATATATATTGACTCCACCCAGCCGTTATGGAAATTGAATCCATGTTACGCAACAGCATATTAACCTGAGTCCTACACCTTTGGTTATACACAGTGGCATCCACCAAGGACGTCCTTCCATGGGTTTCACAAGGCGAATTTCTGCAGGGTATTCACTTTGAGGACCTTACAATTGCACATCTGCTTTTATAGTATATACAGTAAGTAGAGTACAGCAATTTTAGTCCATAGTTCCTGTCTGGCTAAAAAATATCCCAAAACATTATGATAGAAGGGTCTGTGTGGAGTACAGGGCAGAAGATGCCTCCACCAGCCATTGACAGATTTCTGTCTTATTTGACGGATGGTAAAGATCAGAGAGGCAACTTGCAAAAAGATTTTGTCACAGATGCAAGTGGCTGAAATTAGATCAGGATGCCTCTGGGTGTTTCATTCTAGAGGTATTCCTGGTACTTGAAAAATGGCAGGTGAGAGTATAGGGGATATAAAATGTATACCAGCTGGTCTCAGACCCCAGGACTGGGATCCTGTGGGAAAAGCTGGGGGATTCTGGCTGCTGTGGCTTCTCTGCTTAGTCTGCTTCCACATGACCTGGATCTGGGCTACTGGCCGAAAATGAATCAATGGAGGATGGGGTGCTCCATTAGACTGGGGCTTTTTTTTAATGCTGCTATAATCAATAGTTTTATATTAACAATGGCTCAAATGACTATGTGTATGTGAGTCCAAGTGTCCATCACAGTGACAAATCCACAGAGAATTACCACTCAACCCTACAGCTTTCCTCAGCTGCTCATGTTTTATACTGTTTTTGTCCCCTCGCAGCAACAGTTAGCTACTAGCTGGTGAACATAGTGGAGCATTTAGCAGCTAACGAGGAGTTGGGCAACGAAAAGAGCTAAAATAAGAGTAAATATTGGACTTACTTTAATAACAAACCCCATACCTGCTGGTACTGCCATTTATGATTTTTGTCCATGAGTAGCCTTACTTCTTATTGAGTACTGCCACCTCTGTTGAGCATGTTCATACCCACAACTGAGCTCACCAAGGTCTGGACCTCTGTATTTTGTACGAGGGGTAGACAATAAAAGTTGTGAAATAATTGGCTACATTTTTTTTTGTCTTTTATGCTTTGATGCATGCGTCCAGAACCACCCTAGCAAGTTTAGTTTTTGGATCTTTATTCCTAAAACCCTGTGTACACCTATCGTAGTGAGGTATGAAGGGCTAAAAATACTAAGTCTCCATGTAAACAAATAGCTAGCTGAACACTAAGAAAACAGCACTGAAAATGTTCTTAAAAAGGATAATAAATGCCAAAAAAATTAGGGTTAGGATTGGACTGAATTAGGTTTTTTTTTTGCTCATCCAATTCAGTCACTGTTAATGTTTGCTAACATGTTAACCATATCAACTTTATAAGTTTGATAAATGATCTTGGTTTAACAAGCTGCGTGCTTTTTTTGCCTGCAAAGGGTTGGGTGGTTAGGGTTAGGGTTAATTAAAATCAGCCACTGAAATTTAAAATGAGCATATTTTACCAAAAAAAAACTTTGTTTCCTTGTGATTCATATATATAATAATTGCTTCAGGAACAATTAAATAAAATTTCTGCTTTAATAATACGATTCATAAGTGGAAGAACAATTTGATATAGGTTGTTTGGTTGTTTTTATAATTGCTGTTTTTTTTTTTCTTCTGCATTGTTTCTTTGTCATTCAACCCCAACCATTTCGGAAAGCAAATCAGGCTAATCCATGCTCCTTTAAAAGAGTTTTTTCAGTGAACCCACGCTGGCTAGGTTTAACTAAAAATCTCTGCAGAATCGTTGCTTTGCTTGAGGGCTTTTTTCCCACACGATTAGTTGATTTAATGGGTGGAACCGTATTTCCTGTGATTTAAACCACTGTAATCGACATACAGTTTTAATCCTCATTAAAAAGGAAGGATGGAAAATGCAGGGGATGAGAAGGGGGTTGGGAAAAGGGGTGGGGTGGTGGTGGTGGTGCACATTTTATAAAGGCAAAGAGGTAAGAGGAGGGAGAAAGAAGAGAGGAGAGCGTCTGGTAGAGAAGAAAATAGCAGAGAAGCGGGGAGTCATGAAAAATTGAAACACAGGAAGAAGAGTGCGAGCAGGAGTAAAGGTGGGTTGTAAAGAACCAAGTCTTCATTCAACCAAAATGATCCAAACCAAGCAAGTTAGTTTGTATAATTTTCATGGGAAGGTGATGAGTCTTGATTCAATGTCTTTGGAGTTTTTAATTGATTCAATTACTGAATAACCTTCTGCATATGCACATTTTCTAGCTTTAGAACTTTATTGTTGACATTCAGAAACAACAAATCAGTACCTGTGATAAATAGGACAGACTATTGTTCTTGTGCACTCCCTATGAGTCACACATGGGTTGAACACTTTTTGCATCCTGTGTTATAGTTTGCTCTAGTGTCTCTATGTGGCACATGAATGTAGTTTCTAAATCAATTAATCAATCGTGCGCCAAAACACTGCTACTACAAACATGATCAATCAAATACTAACAACACAGTGGACTCCTGGGAAATGAAAGCATGTAATTACTATAATTTGGATGCACAGTTGAATGAATATGTGAGCATACAGTGATGGAGTGACACTAACTTTTGACTTGAATATTCACACATCCAGATGGGACAGAGGGAGAGACAGGAGGGGCAGAGGGTTTAATGTAAATGTGCTAAATAAGAGCACAGCGAGGTGAAGGGAGGATACAGCAGGTTATCATCCAGAGGTCAAAGCTCACGGCTGTTGTGTAACCAGATTTACAACAAAACCGTGTGGTGGAATGTGACCTGCATCCCGATCTGGTGATGCTGCATACACTCTCCGTGTTCTTCTCCCTTGCACACACACATCAATAACTCACTCACACTTGCAGCCTCAGCCATACCAACTTGGCTGTCTAACATCCGTTACACAACATACTTTTAGCATGGAAGGCTTTTTTTTTGTATCCGTCTTAATGAAAATGCCAAAACATGGGAGCCGTGAAAATCGTGCCAAAGGAGATTAAACATCATTAAAGTTATGGGGAATGTAAGTTGAAAATTATTGTACCATGCAATTTCATTCGATTAAACAAAAGATGGAAAAGTTTTACAGCACAGATTTGACTTTTTTCCAACCCCTGTGATTGTTTTAGTTGGATGCAAATCATACTCAAGTTGCTGGTATCTGGAACACGAGACCCAGGTGAGGTGTTGCCAAACCTTTTCTCAGTGGGCAGTACGTCTGCATGTCCTCAAAAAGCCTTGACTTAGGTTAATGACCTCAGTGACCATGACCTTAACAGTTTGCACACCATCTGTCTCACGGGTAAGAGATTTTATTTCCCCATTTATAAACAGAAATGTCAGTAAATTCGACGCGCTTAACAGCACATAACATTTTACAGTCATGTATAGTCATTTTTACACCAAGTCAGAAACTTGGAAAAATAACATTTTCTCTGCTAGTCTTTTGGTGTTTAATTTATACTTTTGTTTGGTTTGTAAAATCAATTTTTAATTTGGTTGTTTGCTGATTTTTCTCCTCCAATTGCTTTATAACCATTTCCATGGCTGCCTAGATCAGCCATGTTTTGTCCAGCTGGATTTGGTAGCCAAGGTAATGTATTTGGAAATAAATGGAAAGGTTACCTAACTCATTTCCCCCCACGTCGTTTTGATGGTCTGGGAACATTACAAGCTGGTGTTACATATCAGCAGTAGATGCTAGCTAGACAGGAACAGGAGAATCTATTTTATAGAGGCCTAATATCATCTGATCATTATGCCAGAAATATGGCTTTGGTTGTTACATCCCCAGACGCCAGATTGGACAGAGACATGTTATGTAAGCCTTGGTGTTTGAATATAAACTCACACACACTTTCAAAATGGGACTTATATAATAGGATGACAATACCATCAGTGCATTACTACTATTAGTTAGCTTGCTTGGACCTTAAAAGGCAGTTTATACAAGTAATCAATCTAAAAAAAAAGTTTTCATTTCACATTTTTATTGTTCATCATAATGAAACAGCATCACTGATACAAAAAACATCCCCTTGTCTGGGTAAAATTACAAATCTGAATGTTTAGCCTAATCCACAGAAAGCAGAGACACTGTGAACAGCAGAAACATTGAGCAAGTGCTTCTCCACGGCTGAGGGTCCATACAAAAATAAGGCAGGTGGTTCAGCACAATTCCTTTCTAAACACTGTCAAAATTAGCTGGGAACTTGTCTGCTTTTACAAATCCACAAGAAGACTCCTCGTCTAGGCCAGCACAATATGCAACAGCATTGTACAGTTTGGCTCAATCATGCAAAGGGTGAAGAGATTTGAAGTTATCCAAAAGTGAGGAGAAAAATCATCCAGACCATATACCTGAGATACTAAAGTGGGGTAAAGGTGTGGTGAAATGAAGAATTTGAAGACAAAACCCAACCTGAGACAGGGACAAAGCTGTTGCGCTGACTACCGATAAACAGATTAAGCCACTGACGGCAAACATTTATAAAGAAATTTAGATTGTGAGCCACATTTTCAAATTGAGAACAATCCAGTATCGAACATTAATAGCGATTACTGAAGAGACCTTGTGAATTCAGCATCAGGCCGTGGAAAGCTTCAGTTCAAGTAATGTCATGGAAATAAATCCTCACCAGGTTTTGGTGGGTTAGAAAAGGTTTTTTCTATGACAGCAGTGATACATTATAAGCCACAGTAAGATATGAGCTACAACTGTGTATGATTGTCCTGGTAGAGCTTTAGAACTGACAAACACAGAAGGTTCTTGTACATTTTGTCATCCTGTGGAAGAGGTATACATCTAAACGTTAGCATCGGTGTATGAGTCCCTTATAGCATAAATGATATGACCAATGGATACATAGCAGAAGAGCCATGAGCTCCTTTAACAAACTATAAAGGTGTTCTGTCCTTTAAGAACCTTCCTGTAGTGTGGTAACGAAATACTTTAGAGGATCTCGTCTTGCTTCTATTAAACGTTACAGCACTGTTTTTGAGATACACATTCAAAATCAACACTGCTTACTTGTAGCTTTAATTTTAACCCAGTGTCAGTCAGCAGGTGCCAATAAGCTACAGAAAGGTGTTGTTTCTGAGACTGGGAAAACCGTGTTATGAAGTAGGCCGTTGATTAATTCATCCTGACATGACAAGTTAACATTAGAACATGAAAATGGATATATAGAGACCAAATTTTCTACAAATATACAAGCTTCAAATAAAGGAAAAAAACTACTGTCATACAGCAAGAGAAAAAAAAGATCTAATACACGTTATATATATATATATATATACTAAAACAAACACTGGATTGCAGAAGACTTGTAAGGCAGAATCCCCCAGCAACCCAATCACAGACAATGTGTGTCAGTGTACCATAAAATAAAGATTATTTACAGAGCATATACAATTGTCCAAAAAGACCATGTTTGTTATCCAAAAACATGCACATAATACACTATTTCATTTGAAATATCTATTTGTTTCACGTACATAGATCTGCAAAGGATCTATTAATGCTGTCCACTTTGGCTGGATGTGTTCGTGACACGTTAACGGCATAGCAGAAGAGGTGAGATGAGCACCAAAAGTACCGAATACCACCGGTATTAGAAGCCAATTGTAATGATTATTATTAATGACCTGACAATCAATTCACCAAGATTAATAATTGAATCTTAATCTTCCTCAGTCAGAAGTGGCCCATGTGTTTAGCTACAAAACACACCTTAATTTGTCTTTTCCATTTAAAGACATAAATAATAGGATTTTTGTGAGAAATTAAAAGTTTTAAATGTACCATCCTCTGCATGTTAATGTAGGTATCAAAACTGTAGCTCCTCTGTAACAACAAGTGTCATGATGTGTGTGATATTGTTTAAATATCATCAATTTTTAAAGAAGTACTTTTTGGAATTTTTGGGGGAAAAAAACAACAATTTGTTGCAGAGAGATGAAAAAATGAAGCTAGTGACTGGAGACTGAAAGTGGAGGAGATTAGCTAGCCTGGCTCGGTCCAAAGTTAAAATCCCACAACCAGCACCTCTCACACTTAGTTGTTCAAACATTATATATCATTAGCAGCCATTTGTATGAAAATGGACATTCAGTCTTTATGCCTAGCTGATTATCTGCTGGCTGTAAAGTTAGCTTCATACTTGCCGATAATATAATATATAATAATAAATGCGTTTCCCAAATTTTTTAACAATTATTTTAAGCTGAATAGCACAGTAACACATCCCTACATTTGTTTGAATGACGTTTTGGAGAATGAGGGTTTTATACGGCAGTGATGAGGATTGCATGGCACAAGTTGAAAATATATTACATACAGATTTTAACTGAGCTAGTTCACGTTTTGGCTCAATTGGATTAATTGAATTCATTTTTGAATTGTCCGATTGTATTTTTGTAAACTGCATATTTAACATTGTTTTTAAAACAACATATACTTTTATACACGTAGCTGTCCAGCCCTATATCAAGTGTCTAATAAATTATTCCAGCAGGTGTATATACTGTGTGTTCCAACTGATGATTTAACTTCTACAACTCAAAGTATGATATTATGTTAAACAATCTTTTTTTTTTCAGTAGACACAATTATGTACATTGATACCTTGACTGTTCAGATCCCTCTGTGACAATAATACTGAAAGCATCTCTTTGCTTCGTGTACACAGCCAGGATGAAAACAGCCGGCAAGGAAGCTCTAGCATGAACCCGATCGACTAAAATTGTATGTGCATGTAGACTTTGGCAAAGCTTCTGATTGTTAACTTGTAGCAGAGCAGCAAAATACAATTCCTGAACAAAATGTTCTACATGATTGGAGTTTCAAATTAACCGTTCTTTTGAGGTGAGCCTACCGCTTGATTCATTTCAGGAATTTTCCCATGGAAAGTTGCTTGAAAAAAAAGGTATTGATGAGTTTAACTATGTTTGTGTGTGTATGTGTGTGGGTGTGTGTTAGCTCTACACACAAAGTGAAACGTAATGCTAGAAGTGCTCCTTGTTTCATGGAGGAAGACACACTCCACCTCCAAATGTCTCCTTCAAGTGCACAGAGGGTTGAGGGACTTGCATCGTCTTTCCAGCCCTGCTAATCGCAGTTCACAGATCTGCTTCAGGTGAGGACTGCATAGCATGTGTTTGTTCTGTTCTGTCTCTTCATAGCTGGAAACGATTGGCGGTAACAAGAATGGCGATTTCAGACTGTCTTGGTGGCACGTTAAACCGGAGTTTCCCCCTCTTCGGGTTTTGATTCTCTCGTTTGTGTTGTGTCACATTTAGAACTTTACAGCGACAGAACAAAGACAAAAATTGAAACAAAACAAGTCTCCCTCCAGTGATATTCTCTGGGGGGGGGACTGAAAAAAAAAAAAACTGAAGATGTCTTAACCCGGTGCAGAACATTATGTCCATATGTTGAGGTTTTATGAGCAATGTTTGAAATTTGATGAAGGGAAGGGAACCGCTGATGAAACCCTATCCCCAGATGTTGGACCAGCTGAGGCAAACCAGAAGAGGCGTGGCGGGATGAGGGGTAGAGAGGGTTTGCTGCACTCTAAAATGTAAATGTGAGGAGGGAAGAAGGGGGCTTAGTGACCGCCGCTGGAGCCTGGGGGGTTGTGGACCCAGTCGAGGACGATGAGCGTCAAGCTGCCAATCATGAAGATGACTCCCACGACTAAGAAGATGAACGCCTGAAAAGAGAGACAGAGGAGTAGTTGAATGTGTGATGGCTCACAGTGGGGGTCAGGTGAAAGTTCTGATGAGTCACATTTTGAAAACGTTATCCGCCCCTTGGGGGATGGAGTGAGGAAAATGATACAGTGAGAAAAATGTTGATAGAGTGTGTGGGTGTGGGTTTCTGCACACTTACCCCGATCTTCTGCGGGGAGCGGAACGGCACTGATTTTACCAGGCGGAGGTAAAAGGCAGCAGGTAGGATGAAGATGAGCATAGTGGCTGCAGAGGAACCTGCAATAAAAAACAAGAGGAAGGTTAACTCAGCTGATCAGACACTAGCCTTTAAACACTTAGACATGTACTTATAGTCTTGGAATCACCATCACCACCAGTTGTTACCCGTTTCCCTTTTTGATTTCCCAAGAGAATTGCTCTCTCTCGTTTCTAGCTCTGGGGTGTTCTAAATGTTGCTGTTTTCAGTGTTTGTGTGTGTGTGTTGGCAGCAAGAACATGAGTGTTTAGATCCAGTGGTCATAAACTGCTCACGTGACCGCACAGCTGACTCGACCCGACACTTTAAGCTTCTGTACTTCCAACGTCTTTACTTAATAGAATGACCTCTGAACCTGAAGGCGCTAATTAGCCTTCGTCTGACGCTCTCCCTGTTTTATTAACTCCTATTCGTCCATGTTGTGGGTTCTTCGTTTTAACCGTATGTAAACCAAAACTTCCTCACCACATGGTAACATTTTGAGTTTAATTTGAAAAAATATAAATGGTACAGAAATCATTTTCTTTGGGCCAAAGTATTTGGATGCATAGCCTCACCGATGAAGCCGAAGATGTCTCTGATGGTGGGGACGAAGATGACCAGCATGTTGTTGAAGGCCAGGATGGCGGCGGCAATCAGCATGTGGCGAGTCCAGCTGAACTCTCGACCGCTGAACATCAGCGTGGTGATGGAGGAGCGGATCTGAGGGAAAAACACAAAGTATTGACATTACAGTCTTTGGCTCAGTCGTAGAGCCGATCTTATATTAATAATATTATAAAAAAGTTGTCAGAATGTATCTCAATTACAGCATTTTTAGTCAACTTGTGACTTCATAGTTATCAGTTTGGTTTGATAAACTGAAATATTGCATTAAAATCAACCCATTTCACACTGTGTGCAATGAAACATTTGTCACTCTTATTACTCCTCTATGTACATTCAGTCTGTCTCCGTCAAATACACCAACCACTAACAGCAGCGTGCTGGCCTGTGCCTCAGATCAACAACAGATCTGCTTCAGGAGAGGACTGCATAGTCAAGTGCTACGAGGCTACTGTGTGTATTTGTGAGACTGTGTTTGTGTGTATGAGGGGAAACATAGAGAACCAGGAGATCCCAGCTAAGACGCCTGAAGCTGCTGAGCCACAGGCTGCCTGTTCAAGCCTCCAGTGGGTGAAAGGTTGCAGGTATCAGGTGAAACCTGATGCGACGTGAGCCTGCAGGCCACACTGGGAAAGGTTACAAGGGGCGGAGTTTACCATTCAAAAAGGAAGCGGATTATCTCCTGCTGTGCAATGGGACTATGGGATTGCATCAGCCTGTAGTGAGAGTAGGGCGGGCTCGCCTGCAGGGGGGGAGGTGTGTCTTTACCAAAAGCTATTGTCACTTGTATTTGACTTTTCCTTCCTCTGTTACTTACTAGTCCCAAATTAAGGCCCAATGAGGCCACAAGTTGCCAGGACAACAGGTTTAATTACAGCTGTGGCAGACACTTCAAACTGATTTGGTGTATGTGGAAAATGAAATAGGAGATGCAAAAAGAGTTTGAGAGAAAGGTTTTTAGTTAGTTTAACCTAAAAAGGACGAGGCATGTGCAATCTTTTCCTTTTTTAAGGACTGCTGGCAGAACACCACAGGCCTTCTTTGTATCCTTTCAAGTCTGACTTACTAACAAGATTTATATCCAGTTAGCATGGCACAGTGGAAAAAAATCGCATTAACTGGATTTTCTGCACTGTCAGATTGAACCAAGTGACCCCCGTCATGACTGTCAGGAGGCACCGGGAAGACGCCTGCGCTTCCCTGTCCACTGCCAAAAAAGTGTCACCACTGAAGCCAAAACTCATTTCTTTTGGGAGATAATGACAATAATTTAAGTGAATCCCTCCTAAAATTCTACAAGCGTGCCCCCACCCCGACCTCCCCCTCCACCCACCAGCTGTTGCATAATTAGGCCGGCTTGGAAAACTAGAGCCTGGACGCGGCATTTCTCTCCAAGGCTCCAAACTATTCAGCACCCGACTGTTACCTGGCGCAAGCCTTTGGAGTTCACCGTGTGATATTTGCACACTTTTTACTCCTTACTCTTCACCTGTCAGAGGCCTACACACACATAAACACACAGAGTATGTGGATGGAAAAGTTGTAGGCAGCCGGATTGGTCCAGCCACATCTGGGTTCAGCCAGTTAGCCACAAATTCGGGACTTGCCTACGTAAGCTAGTTCTGCCAAATCTCTCCAATTTAGAAGTTACAAACTAACCATGTGCACTTTACGGCAAACAAGAGACGTGTTTCCTCTGTTAAAGTTAACATTTGTGCAGATATGAAAGAGCAAGTATATTCACAGCTAGACAGAAAGTAGCAGACACTGTGTGAAAGCTGTGAAGTATGAATGTTATCATCTTGGCCTTGCCATTTGCTATTTTTTTCTCCAGACATTTGAATGTGTACAGATGCTAAGGGAGAACTGAAACTATACATGCCACAAGTTAGAAGTCCCCTTTCAAGCTAAAATAACTACAGGAAGGCTATTTCACAGAGTTTCTGACTACATAAGCACTGAAGAAATACTTGAAACGAGACAGCCAAACTAGACGAAAAAGGACAAACTACTTTACTGCAACCAGAACAAAGTCAAGAGTGACACAGACCAAAAACACAATGCCATGAATGTAGCTCTCTAGTGGTGATACAACGCTCTGCAACATTTCGAGTACAAGCCAAAAAGCACACTGTGTGACAGTAACAACTACACAGACAGTGCCATTGTTCCAAAGGCTTGCTGATAAAATGTCTCTCCGTAGTTTAATAAGACCAACCTTTGCATTGGTAGGATATGCAATACACCAGACTGGTGCTGGAGCATGACACTTGTATTGGTGTTTTAGTTTTTTAATTCAATCAGAGGACCACCTGTTTGACCTCTGACCTTGTATCTGACAATGTATTAACACTTATGACTGCAGGCTTCACAGATTCTAAATGACACACGTTTATTACTGCAGACTTTTGAGAAAGTAATTCACAACGCGTTAATGACCAATCAATCTTTATTAATGATAAGGAGAAACAACACACACACCCCAAAACTGTTCTTATCAATGGCTAAAAGCTAGCAGCCATTGTTGTTCTACTCGTAGCACTATAACTACATTAGTAAATGTTACATTAACCAATAATGAAGCTACATTTCCACTTACAAACCCTTTATAAAGGGTGCTTTGTCAGAAAACAAGATAGGAATATAAAAGGGAATGTTGAGAGTCCTTAGAAAGTTACAGCTGTGCAACTTTTCATTGTCCAAATGTCAGTCGCAAATTAAAGCCAACTGCGGACGTTTAAGCTAACGAATAGATATGAAACACACAGTATACAGTGGATTGAATATTACCGCTAATAGCACTTTTTTTAATTTAGGTAAAATATCTTTATCAAATTAGACCAAAAAATGTCCTTCCAACGACCAGACTGAAAATGTTTAGTAGGATAACCAACGACTCATATTCGTTACTCGCCAACAGTCATTTCTTAACTTGCAAAGCAAAGGCAGGTGATTTTCCTTTGTAATGGATAAAAAAAAACTGATGTTAATCAGCGCATTCGCAGCCCTCGACCATGGTTTTAAATGTTCAGCTGAAGCCTGAGAACTGGGGCACGTCTGACTGCGCTTAAAGCCCTTTCATTATGTACTGGATCCTGGCAAAGCCCTCTGTGATCTGGCCTCTGTTAGCATCTATCCTTCACGTGACTGCACACACAGACACACACTCTCATGCCTAAACATGTCTCCAAACGTACCCTCCCACACACACATTCTCTCCTCTCTCATATACTACTGCCCCACTGGAGCCAAGGACAGTCGCAGACAAAGCTAACGTTAATCTCTAGCTGAAGGTCGGTAGCATTTCCCTGCAAAATGAAGGTCAGGAGGATTCAAGGCGAGATTCTCAAATGTCAAATGGAAACTTGGCAGAGCGGTGCGACTAAGTGGTTCTTTTGATCTGATGCCTTGCATGCATCCAAGTTCGTCAATCTTCCGACCACACCGTTGAATTTACTGCAGGAATAGCGATTAGTTAATTAAACATTCCCAACTCAGCACACATTTCTCGCAAATTCCTGAACAAATCAACTCTTATCCACTTCACAAATGTCATGAGCCGAGTCAGCCATTTCATCCACACAACTCTCTCTCAGCGACTAGTGCTTATCACCCAAACTGACTCACGTAGAGTCATGACTCACACCTTATCCATTATAGGTATCCATTCAGGTATACACAGGCCAAGACCAGTTTTTAACACAACCTCAAAAGGAATTGATATATAAGTGTCATAGCTGATTTAAGGGCCCTGAGCACATAGCATGTTTCTATTGGACGAGGCTGCAGTGGAATTTGAACAACTAACCCTGGCCATGTCACTGCCTTGCTCTTTTCACCACAGCTGCTTTGCGGCATCCCGTTTCAGTCTTGTGTTTCTCTGTCCTTATCAAATTTTTATCTCCTCCCTCTTCCCTCTCACTTTCTCAGCACTTGTTATTTTTACAGGCTTACCCTTCTCTGTGTACAATTCAATTTAAAATGTATTAATTGGTAGTCCAACATGCTAAAGCTGCTGTTCATCAATTGTTCTTGCACCTGAATGACAAGTTTGCAGTTGACTTTGATTTTCTGAGTAGTATTGTATGAAATAAAATCCAAATTGCTTTCTTTAGAGTTTTTTTTTAAATTATTTTAGCAAAACATTATTGCCATAAAAGTTTATTTATTGCTGAAATGTTCACTGTTTTCTGACAGCAGTACATGAGACAGACAATCAGCTTCCTCTGGCTCCTCCTAGTGCTCCAAAAAATCCAAAGGGCCTAGACAAAAACCAACCAATCAGAGCCAAGAAAGATATTAAGATGCTTTGGGTTGGAAGGTTGAAGATAATGATTGTTGAGTCTCATTCCCAGTGTTCTAAAGCATCTGTACTTAAAGCCCTGGGAATGAAACTCAACAATCAACTATCTTTCTAGCCACTATATATATATATATATCATGCCATATTGCTATTGTTGGTTGCAAAATTGCAGGTGACATAAACTGTCATTGCTCTTGAACATATGCACATTTACGTACATGTGCACATATGAAAACCTGGCAATCCTGCATTATTTGATAGATTTTCATCTACAGATGGCACTACAGCAACATTAGGTTACCAAGGTTAAAGGGACATAACTCAGTACAGTAGACTTCCTTTCACCCTTTTATAAAAATCCTCCTTGTACAAAATCCTAATATTCCCAGATGGGAATCAGGCATTTTCATCAGTGGATAATTAGCTTGTTTCTCACTATCTTCGATGCTGATCCAGATGTAGATTCTAATCATTTTCTATCATTAACACAACACATTTACAGGATAGTGCAGCCCTGATAAAGGCTGTGTTTCTGTCTCCCTCCCCTGCCAACCCACCCCCCATCTCCCTGGCTCCGCCTCTTTATCTCCCTGATGGTAGGGGTCAGGGTGAGGGTTTTTCCACTGCCCATTCTGAGGCTGTAAACTTCCACTGCAGCGAGAGGGGGATCCTCTCTCACATTCCCTTCGACAGAAAAAACAGCAGTGTCTGCTGAGTGTGTGTGTGTGTGTTAGGGATATGGGGGAGTACATCCAGTGTAGGATCGTAAGCATCAGCTAAATTACTAAAATGTACCAAAATGTGATAATGCCTGAATGTGTGTATACGATGGATATATAAGAGTGCAGATAAGTGTGCACGTTTATGCTCTGTAACTGTGTATAAATGTGTGTATCTGTGCTGTGTCAAGCTATGTGTATCCAAGGAATGCAGTCATTGCTGCATCATTCTCAGTCAGCACTTTCCTGTGACTTAACAGCAACAAATTTGCTGCCCCCTGGTGGCTGCATACTGGACATGCAGCCACTTCAAAAATGATTCACAAATTAATAGCTGCTCGTCTTCACATAAAGTGTGTGTGTGTGTGTGTGTGTGGTGTGTGTGTTGTGTGTTGGTGTGTTGTGTGGGGGGGGGGGGGTGTTGGTTGCACCAAACTTTCTCTGGCCAGTGGCCATTTTTGTTCTGCTCGTGTCAGACAAGGGCCAGGCTAAAATTAGCCCGTGAACATATATGGGGTGGGAAGGAAGGAGAGCGCGTATGTGTGAATGAGGTGTGTGGGTAACTGGACAACACACACAGGCTAACCCTTGACCCCATCTTGAGAGAAAACGGACGCAATAAGTAAGAGAGGCATTACTGTTAAGATCTATAAGTGTGCGTCAGCATGTATGTGTGTGTCGGTGTAGTTGAGAGGTGCGGCCGTTTACGACCTCAGCCTGTGTGCTTTGGGATTTGAGATGACGACACAAACAGAGTTCCAAACTGAACAGTGCTTCTTTTTTACCAAACTGCCAGGAAAGAAAACAGCTGCATCCAGAAAACGACAAAAAAAGACTGACTCTGCACCAAACACAAAACACAGTCTGTAAGCAGAATGACATAAAGTGGCAGTAATGCTTTACTGCGTGATAGCTTTTACAAGTAGCTGGCTGGCGCCGGGTGGAAAATAGCGGCCAGATACTCTAAATTACTGGGGTGGTGTATGTTTGTGTGTGTCTGAGGAGCATGTTTGTGCGCTCTGACGTGAATCAAATTATATCAGGTTCAATTTAATGATGCTGAATGAGATGACAGAGGAGAGAGACGCCAATGCTCAAATTAACACCAGTGTAAAAACCCTAGAAGTCAGCGCTTGCCATGAAATTTTACAACAAGGAAACATTTTCTGTTTTCCAAACTTAACTACTGCTATGCTTGTCCCTGGAGAAGAAAAAAAACATATTAGGCTTTTTAAGAGACACGATGTACTTACAGGGAACAGCACGATGGGGACAGTCAGAGTGACAGCAGTGAGAACAGCCAAACGCACCAGCAGCAACATGGTGTCAAACTTATAAACCTTGGTGAAGGTGTGCAGCAGCTCTGCCTCCACGTTGTCTGCGTTGGAGGAGAAACAAACGTGAACAATTTTGCAAACAAAAGGTGACAGAAGCTATGGAAAAGCAGAAGTTTGGAGTTGAAATGCTAGTGTCAATGTTACATTTACAGAATTTATATGGGTAATCAGCAAAATCCTTAGTTTTCGATTGCTAAACAATTAAACAGTGTTGGTTTTCAAAGCTCTATGACTACCCTCTCACCACAGCAGAATTATTTTTCTTTTTCCCTTGAATAAGGGACTCATATCGTTACCTGCCTGCTTAGGCTATGTTTTGTCTATGATTAGCGCTGGCTATCAATGCTTTTGTGTATCGCCGCTTACCATAAAAGGTGAGGTATCCAAACAGCGCTGACAGCATGTACATGGTGAGCATAGTCAGGATGGACAGGTTGGAGACATTCTGCATCTTTTTCCGGCTGCGACTGCAGAGGCAACACACACATTCACTTTTAGAGAGGAAACATGACTATTAAAGGTTTAGGGTCGCACTCAGCTTGACCCTCAAAGATGCGAGTGCCGTTAAGTTCATGGGTAGACGCGACCATTACCGGGCATGCATCCTGCTGCAGCAGCCCAGGTTCGAATTAGACCTCAGCTTTGCTGGTGTCATCCCCTCTTCTTAACTTCCTTTCCTGTCTTCTTGACTCTCACTGATCATAGAAGTCAATAAAAGCCCAGAAAAAATACTTAAAAAAAAAAAAAAAGACTTAGGATGCTTTTCCTGAGAGTAATGTATGAATGCATTTCAATCTTTTCTGTGACTCCTCAATAGGACACAAACTATATTTGTAACACATTTCCTAATTCTTTCTGCCCTTTATCCATTTCTCAAGTGCTACAGGAAACTACATCGTTCTGACCATTCTCACTGAATATTGGAAAACTCCATTTGAACCAGCAGGATGCGGATTTGTTGCTCTATTTGCTTTATATGGGAGGATGCTGCACGTCTCTGAGATGCCATGGTGGGAACACTCATCATGCAACACCATACGCGGCCAATACCACAAGAGGCATTTACTATAGTGTCATTACTTTATAAGCATGGTTCTGTAATGAGTGAACATCAATTAATTATAAAATTAGGGGGATTTTGAGACTGACTTTGTCGCTGAAAAGATTTTCTGAATGTAATTCTTCAGAGCTTTCAGTCCTAGAAAAAACATACTGCATTGGGATGGGAGCATAAGCTTTCAAAGACAGATATCTATAAACCTTGGTACATAAAAGACTCTCTGCATGGCTGGATAGTGAGAAAATGGGTTTCCTTTGGATGAACTGAGCCTTAAAGTTTGATTTAGAAGGTGCTTGGTGTAAATGGGAGAAGTGCACTTACTCTTTCAGTTCGCTGTAGATAGGCAGGACCTCTGGGTGACAGACAAAGGCAAAGGCCAGGATGGGCACGGTGTATGCCGTCTGGGAAAAACAGTGTACAGAAAAATTGAAGCCAGAAGTCCAGCTTTAGGCAGTACAAGACAACCATGGTGCTAACAATCTATATAACCTATATTGGGCCACATATACGTCTGTGATGAAAAATATGACTTAAATATTCTTGCAGTAACTTCCTTTTTACAAAGGAGTGTGTAAGTGAAGGAAAGCCCAGAGGAAATCTTCCATGGCATTTAAAGCTAGGGTATGTAATGAATTTTAGAAGCATTTTTTTGTTATATTTG